TACAGTGATAATGGAACTAACTTTGTCGGAACTGAGAACGCGTTTTCTCGAGTAGACTTTCAAAAAATAGCTGAGAACAGTATTAATGAGCGGATCCAGTGGCGGTTTAACCCCCCGACAGCTGCGTGGTGGGGTGGTTTTTGGGAAAGGCTCGTGGGCATGTTGAAGCAACTGTTGCGTAAAGTATTGGGACGTGCTTCACTGGATTATGAAAGCCTATTGACTGTCTTATGTGATTGTGAATCCATCATAAATTCTCGACCACTTACCTGTCCCACATCAGATACCACGGAGATGGTACCTTTAACACCACAGATGTTCCTTAGAGATCAGATAGAAGACGGTGTCCCCGATTGTGATGCAGTTGATGGTAGATCTCTATCCAGAAAAATTCTGCACAGGCAAAGATTGTTAGAAGATCTTCGACGAAGATTTCGGAATGAATATCTAGGTCAGTTAAAATTATGGTCGAAAAAGAATTTTAAACACCAAGTCAAAGTAGGAGATGTAGTATTCGTAGGAAACGACCAGGACAAGCGTGTTAATTGGCCTCTTGGTCGTGTAACTGATACTATTCCCGGTAGAGATGGTCAAATTCGGCTTGTTAGGATTTCTACAGAAAGAGGTCAATTTTTAAGACCAATTCAGCGTATCTACCCCATGGAGTGCCCAGCAGATTTTTCTCAGACGCTAGGCAATGACCGAACGGACAACACGGGAGAGACCGAAGACAGAGGATCTCGTTTAAGTTTATGTGAAGGCGCGGAAGTGAGTGCCTCCGAAAACGACGCGGAAACGGGAGTGTCTGAAAGCAGAGTACCCGAAACGAAAAAATTGTTACGCGAAGTGGGCGCAGCGTCAAAACTCCTGTGCGATACGCTAACGAGTAGATTTAGTTTTTGCTTAATTATATTTCGAATTTTGTCTGTTATGGTTTTATGTTATTTGCTGTAGTTTTGTTTACTTTTGTGCCAATATTAATATTGTGAGCCATGTTTACTTTTGTAAAATGCCTCAGGTGGGAGGATGTCACAGCCATTTGATAATTATTTTGTTTGTATACCGCTTTAAATGCTGAAGTTAAAAATCTCTTATTAAAATTCAAAGAAAGCTTTAGCTATAAAACCTTTTTAAATCATAACAATCTTTCCACTTGTCGGCAATAATTCTTATATTTTATCGCCATCACTTCAATTTATTTTCTTTATTTTAACGCGTAAGTGGTGTAATAAAAATTGATGAGGTTCTTACAGTTGACGAAGAATCTGAGCGCTGAACGGTCGGTATCCGTGGCGTAATATATTTTTTAATTTTGTGTATGTATAGATTGATGCTTATAAGTGATAATTTTGTTACATCATTTTAAAAGCACGCGATATGTTTTGTTGGGAACTGGCAAATATAGATTTTCAATAATTTTGAAGTTTAATTTTGCAATATACGAACCGTGTATTTTATACGCAAATTCGGGTAGAATTGCGTTGGTACACACTTGACATATTTGGCCATCACAACCATCAAATTTTGTTTATTTCACACAATAGTTGAACGAACATCTTAAGATCCTCATATCCATTATGAATAAAACCAAATTACACAAAGATACTGTACTGTAATTACTGCAATCTGTCGGTGAACCTCTTTTATATATGGGAATAAACGTGAGTTTACCCCAGTCATTTGGCCACTTTCCGGTATTCCAGATCTCATTGCAAATTCTAAGCTTTACTTACGTCCCAAATTCTCCCATTGCTTTAAGTGTTTCAGCTGTTATTACATCTTCTTCTGTTTTTCTGAAGTTTAGCTTTTTAATTGCCGCCTCAATTTCTTATTTCAATATTTGAGCTTCTTTTTAATAACTTTTTTCTGTGTATTATTTTCTGGGTTTGTTATGGTATTTCTACTACTATCTTTGATGATCTGTGTCTTCGGTTTGAATTCTCTCGCTAAATACTTGAATTTTGAGAAGAGTTCTAGATTCTTCCCGGTCAGCATGTTCCTCTAGTTGTACACATATGTTTTTAATATAATTATTTTTGTTTCTTCTGCACAAGTGTTTTATAGTTATATTTATGGTACATATCTCTATTTCGTGGACAATAAAACAGTCCGAAATCAAGAAATTAAACTCCTTTGAGATGTGGTGCTACAGGAGAATCCACAGAATATCGTGGACTGAAAAAGTAACTAATATAGAGGTGTTACAAAGAATGAAGAAAGAATGTGAAGTCATAAAAAGTGTTAAAATTAAAAAGATTCAATATCTGGGTCATATAATGAGAGGCGAAAAGTACGTATTACTTAGTTTAATTATGCAAGGGAAGATATAAGGAAAGAGAAACCCAGGACGATGCAAAATATCCTGGCTAAGAAATTTGAGAGAGTGGTTCGGTTGCAGCTCATTAGAATTATTCAGAAGCGCGGCCAATAAAATTAAAATAGCGATGATGATTTCCAACCTCTGATAGGAGAAGGAACCTGAAGAAGATCTAATTCTTTTTGTTTTGAATTTGATGTCCCGTTTCTAATTCATCCAATATTTTTTCCTAGCTGCTTTGTCTTTAAGATTAGTATTGTTGATGACTTCAGTGATCCATTATTCTTTGTATATTTCCACGTTTTCTCAGGGTTTCCGGTAGTCACTGGTAGGTCAGCTTCTACTAATGCTTCTCTAAACTTTTCCGGGGGTCATTGAATACTATTTTGAAGGCGCACCAGCTTATCATAATATCTACATGAACAAGTACCAGAGCTATGGGTCAGTGTGGCTTTCGACCCCCCATATATAAATGTGTAGGTAGGTATTACTTTAACCACTATTCTGTGCTTTAACTTTACAGTCAAAAATATAAGATTGCTATTTGTAGATTGATTAAAAATAGCAATAATTTCTACTATGATTTCTAAACATGCTTTCATTGAATACCGTAGTTTATGAATATTTCGTAAACCGTCACGTGAAAACAGCATGAGATTGGAAATCTTCAAAAAGTGGTTAACTCAAAGTATGTAAAATATATACATTCCGTCTCTGTGCCGTACATATTTGAAATTCCAAACAATTTTAAAATAACATTCTGCTAAAATCGATAACTACAAAAATATACATTTAGATATAAGTAATTAACAAATTTAGATTGATTGGGGAAGAAGTATTCGAAAAATTCCTGGAAAACTATACCGGTTACTTACTGCATAGTATAAAAAAGAAATAGTATGGACACTCGACAGGCGGGAAAAAGTACGCGCATCATTTAGCGCAGGCCATATCGCCATATTGAAAACAGACCGAACGCTAGTGACACCCGACTGGTATTAATGTGACGTGTAGTCGAGTCATCTGTCGTGATTTGTTTGTTTATATCTTTATCGTCCAGTTTTATTTTTCGTTTAATTAAGTCTAAAAAAACTTGGGGATATTAATTTCATTTTAAAATTATTTTTATAAAAATTTAATTTATGTAATTTAATAATTGTTTAACAATATTTAATAATTATTTAATATTTAGTTTTAGTATTTATGTTATGGTTAGGATATTTTATGTTGTTAATTGTTTTGTAAAAAATGGAAACATCCCGTTAATAAATAAATAAATACTAATTCTGGTTTTATTCGCCAAAAAATAAAGTAATTGATATTTCCAGTTAGGAAAATGGTAACCTTTACAACTGAACATAAAATTCAAATTATTAAATGATATTATTCTGGAAGTAGGGCCAACGATGTAACCGCTACGTTTTCGTTTTCATTCGAAAGCCCTGTACCATCAAAATCTGCAATTCACAACATTATTTTTAAATTTGAAAATTAACCAGCTCGTGCAATTAATGAAGAACAGGAACAGCCTAAAACTGCCGTAAGTAGTCTAACTGAAATTAATTTTCCTTGTAACAGCACGTTCTAATTTCAAAAGAAACTGTATTACTGCTAGAACTGTATGAAATACTTTAAAAAGAAACAAGTACCATTGCTACTAAAAAAATCTTAAATTCACAACCATTCTATAGAAACTGTAGTAAATGCAATTTAAAAAGGCAGGTAAAAAACTTATAATAAAAAAGATAGCCCCTGGCTGTATTTTATGTAATTTAACATATAACCAGAAAAAATGCATATGTTCTTTATAAAAGCGCAAATAGTCAATGTTCTTTGTCTCAAAAACATTTCACGATATTACTCGGTTAAAGTCTTTGAATGAACATCTGAAAAGAAGAAAAGATATGAAACAGCTCTCTAATAATGATTTAAAAACCACAATCATAAAAATTCTTGGAACAGATCAAGACAAGAGTTCAAGAAACCCAACTGAGGAACTTTCAAATCGACAACCTGCTAAGCAAACAAGACGTCATTTTTGTCCGAAACATAAAGACATGAAATCATGTGATGACTGTAAGAGAGCAAATTGTAAGGAACGTAGTATCACCCTAAACTTTTGTCAAGATTGTTTTAGAAATTAAGATATCGGAAAAAATAAGAGGGAGTGAATGAAGACGTATTCACTCCCTCTTATTTTTTCCGATATCATTTTTACTTGTTAAAGTTTTTTGTAAGTTTACTTTTGTTAAATTATTGTTGTAAAGTTAACAGTAAGTCTATTTAAATTAGTTTACACACAAAATTGCCTCCCGAAATAATTTGTTGTTTTGGAATATAAGTTTTTCAGTTTCTTATTTGGCTATGATAGAAAAGATTTATTTTTATATAAAATAAATAAAACATTTTGATAATATTAATTAAATTAAATTAAATTAAATTAATATATTGTCGATTGTAATTAATTCAAATTAACTTGTTTACTATCTTTGAAATAATATAAACACGTCTTTGTTCTAACCACTTGTGCCAGTCCGTAACTGATCTAGTCTGTTTTCAATATGGCGCCTGGATACTTTTATACTTCAAAGGCGCCGACTAAGAGTGTCCTAACTGTTTGTGGTTAAACTGTGCTTACTGTGTCAAGGACCATTATTGACTTTTGTTTTGATTGTCAATTGTCAATTATTGCAATGCAAATATTCACAACAAATGTCACTAGCAGGAAGGTGTTTATTTTTTCAGGTATTTTTGTAAATATGTAAGAGAAATACAAGATCTGCTAAAGTAAAAGAGGAAAATTGCTATATACAATATGGCTACACAAGAAAAGCTGCAAAAATCTTTGGAAGCTCTTAAAAATTTGTCTAAATATAATCAAAACTCTTCAGATAATTCTAAGTAAATAATTAAATACTTAATCCTTTTAGATGTATTTTTATATTTATTTTTTAGAAAAAAGGAGAAAATACAATATTGCTATAACATTACAGATGCTATTTCAAATTCAACAATAAGAGTCTCAACAAATTTCCATATTTTGTTAGGAACAAGCATTGAAGTGTTTTTACTACTTTGTGATGATGAAGATGCTGATATTCGAATGACAAGTGAAGAATGTTTAAACAGAATTATAAGAGTATGTAATTGTACTCAATAATTAAAAAAATAAACACTTTTTTTGTTGATATGATTGAAAAGACTATAGTAATTGTTTGGTTTTAGGCTGCAAACGGTTCGATTGGAAAAATACAGATAGAATTACATAAAGAAATCAAGAGAAATGGTCCAGCAAGGTCTTTGAGAACTGCTTTATGGTTGTTTTCCCTTTTAGCTCATAGGATTAGGCCCCACAAAGGGAAGCCTTATGTTGCTAATATGTTTCCTGGACTCATAAAAATAACTGAACGGAATGAGGAAGCAGTACATGAGACTTTGGCAGCTAGTTTGCCAAACATTATGAAAGTGTTAGGATGTTTCACAACAGAAAATGAAATTAAGGTAGCTATTTATTAAGGTTAAAGAAAAGGATACATTCCAACTTGCAATATCAAAGATATAAAAATCTCAAAAATGTACCAATGTAATATATATGGGCAGAAGTATAGAGAAAGTGCCGATGAAGTTGGCATAAACTTCATGTCAAATTTGTGTTTGCCGTATTGCCATATCACAATGGCAATATGGATCTGAGTGTATGTTTGTGCCTCTATAACCTTCTTGATATAGTTCATCTGGGGGATTATCTATTCCAGGTGATTTGTTTCTGATTAGTTTTTTATCTGCAACTTTAACTTCAAGAGTTTTTGATTGTTCCTCTTCCCTCTTGTCTATTCCCCTTACCTCATCTCTTTAGTCTTTCATGTTTTCTTCTTCTTCCTCTATATTAAGTGCCTAGGTAAAGTATTCCATATACTGATTGAATACATCTTTCCTTGTTGTTAAAAGGTTACCATTTTGATTTCTGCATTGTTTTGTGGTTGCCTTGGATTCTCTTCTATTGATGTTAACTTTCTTTTAGAATGCTCTGAATTATTTCTCTCTGTTGAGGGTTTCTATATATTTAAGTTCCTTATTTAAGTGGTTTCATTTTTTTCTTTTGTGCATCCTCTTTTTTCTCTTCTCTTTGTCTTGTAATTCTCTACAGTTGTTCTAGTTCATCAGGTAAGCATCTTTCTGTGGCCTTCTTCATCACATTTTGATTCCTTAGCCTGTTGGTGTTTTGTTTTCTGAGTACTGTTCTGCATTTGTCACATCTCTCAGCTTTTGCACATTCCATTTTTTCTATCCATTTTATTTTCTTTACTGGTGTTTAAAATTCTAGCCCTCAATATTGAGATCACTAGGCAATGATCTGAGTGTATGTTTGTGCCTCTATAACTTCTACAGTTTATTATGTCTGTTCCATGCCTTGAATCTATTAAGATGTGATCAATGTGACTCCATCAGGAGAGGTCCAGGTTACCTTGTGTATGTTCTTGTGTGCAAAATAGGTGCTAACAACTGTCATATTTAGTGCTGCTGCTGTATTGTAATCCATTATATTAGATATTATACTTTCTCATTTTCTTTTTCTTTCTATACTTTCTTTTAAAAATAAAAATCACCGGGTTTCAGGATTTTTCCTTAAAGTCTCTGGTTTATGAAATATCGAATTTATTCCTTTCATTTCCACCATATTGTAGATAAAATTGTACATAATACACTACACAAGGACAAACAGTTTAAAATTATTTATGTATAGTAGCTTCGCCTATTTTTTAAATACTTAAACTGTTTGTCCTTGTGTAGTGTTATGTACAATTTTATGTTTATGGCATTCTGTGATAGTTGGATAGGCCAAAATTGACCAAATGCTCCTGAAGATGCTCTAGGAAGCAAAAGTACTTGGACAAGATTTAATTAATAAAACTGTGCTCAATATCTGCCTTTCATTTGATCAAAGTTCAAGACAAAATATTATTAAAATGTATCGCAAGGAAGATCTAGATACAAGTGATCTATTATGTAGTACTAGAGTTATGTAGTAGTAGAAGAGTCCAAGGTTTTTGAAATTGTAATTTGAAAAGTTATCACAAAGATGTTGGCCTAAGAGACCTATAAAGATTCTTTACATATTTACATTTTGAGTGTATATAACAGACTCTATTATATATGTTTTTTAACCTTTCAGGCACTGCTAAAAGCATTTCTATCAAATATTTCCAATGAGTCTACAGTTATAAGAAGAACTACAACAAATTGTGTGCTTACAGTGTGTATGAATTGCAAAAACCCATATGTTTTCATGACATATTGCCTAAACATCTTATTAGGTAATGTATCAAACATTTCTTTGTTTTTATATTAATGCATAATATATATATATATATATATATATATATATATATATATATATATATATATATACAGTGTAGGTAAAATTTTAAGGTCGGTATGGTAAAATTTAACAGGATATCTAACGCAGATATAAAATCATATTTTCAGTGAATTAGACAAAGATAACAATCATATTTCCCCTTCGTCTCCCCTCCTAAAATCCTTTTAACACTCATTGGCCATTGCCCATTAGTGAGACGATTAGTTCCGATCAGATATTCTCTGGTTCCGATCCTAATATACCTAAAAAACTAGAGGTGGGTCCTCTCGTTTTTTTAATTTTTATCGGAACCGTTTTTCGTAAACTGTAACTAGTTGATTGTTTACCAGTATTCAAATTAGCGAGTACACAAACATATCGATACATTTTTGGCAAAGTAACGTAAGTCACCAAAAACGATTTGTAGAAAAAACAATCTTTTAATTCAACCTGCTTAAACTTATTTAAATTATGACTGAAAAAACTTGTCCTAAAAAAGGTTTAAAGTAAATCTAGGCTTACTACACTCTTTCAGTACCTTTTTAACAGTAATAGCATTAGTTTAATTGAAAAACATTATTTTCGCCAAAAATGTCACTTACGTTACTTTGCCAAAAATGTATCGATATTGGCTATTATCGTTTATGTGTATAAGTATTGAAATAAAAGAACCTAACGAAGGATATATTTATTGTAACTTGAAAAATAAATTAAATAATACAAATGGTACTTAAATACTTACATTTACAATACACATTATTAAATCGCGAATCGTCTAAGTTGACATTTAAAAACATAAGTTTTTCCACTTTTCTTGTTAATCGCGTTCTTCTTTTATTTAAAATTATACCAGATGTTAAACATGTGTTCACAAGGAAAAGATTTTGTTACAATACTACAACATTTTATGAATATAGTGGTTAAGTTACGATATACATGGCGATGGTTTTTTCACCACGGTAATGGACAGTTCCGTTCGAAATTGTTTGTGGGTAATATATCATCAGACAATTACATGTCGACTTCTTTTATACCTCTCGATACAGGTGTATGTTTAGATGAGTCATGTCCAATTAATTCATCAAAAATACACCATGGACTTAAGTCATCTTTATCAGTTTCTTTTTCTTGGACTGATTGATTTTCAAGATTTACTAAACTTTTCGTTTCATCCGTTTTCCATAGTTAAAGAACCAGCTTTTAAAAAGTTTGCAGGGTGGATTCCTGGATATAAACCGCCAACAAGAAAAACTTTGTCAGGTTCATTACTTCAGGAATGTTATGTCAAAAGTGAGCAAATTATTAGATCACAAGTTGTTAAAGAAGTAGAAAATATCTGTATTACTACTGACCTCTGGACATCTGGAGTAACTGAGAGTTACTTCGCATTAACAGGACAATATTTAACCGAAAATTTAGTATTCAAAACTTTTTTATTAGGCTGCTGCCATTTTTCTGGAAACCATAATCCAGAAAACAGCGATTACTGAAATTATTAATCAGTGGGGTCTAAAACGAAAAGTAAATTTTTGCAGTAACTGATAATTCCTCAAATATGGTCAAAGCTATTAAATATGTTTTGTTTTATGATAATTGTGATTTATGATGATGATTAAATTTATTGGTGGAGGACGCACTTAAATGCTGTCGTGTACAAATAGATAAAATAAAAAGTCCTTTTTTTCGACAATTCTGCAAAAAAAACACATTTCAAAAAAGTACCTTATCTTCAGAAAGGCTTTTAAAGTATTAATTACAACAGAACACAGTTCCCAAACGGCCAATCCAAGACGTGGAAACTAGGTAGAACTTCACCTATTACATGTTAAAAAGAATGACCGAGTTAGAAGAGGCAACCCGTTCCACATTGGTATTAAATAATACAGACTTAGACTTAAACCTAATCTAAATAGCAAGTACAATGAGTGACCACAAATACTTGAATGCTAGTTCAGTGATTGTTATGGTACGCTGCCTGGAAGAATCTTGCAATAAAATTTTAGCAAACGGCATACTTACATCCATAGTATCCGATATAGTACAATTACTAATATTGGGTTTAGCAAAAAGATTTAGAGGGATAGAACAGAGTGGCACATTGTCATTATGTACATTTATGGATTCACGATTTAAAGTGCAGAACAAAACAAAAAGTTAAGAAGCTGGTTACTTCTATAATTAACAAACAAGAAGATTGTACTATTGAAAATCAACCAGTACAAGAAAAAGAAACCAATAAATATGACTTAAGTCCATGGTGTATTTTTGATCAATTAATTGGAGATGACTCATCTACACGTACACCTGCATCGAGAGTCCATTACAAGAAAAACTTATGTTTTTATGTCAATTTAGACTATTCGCGATTTAATAATAACGTGTAATGTAAATGTAAGTCAGATTTACTATTTGTATTGTTTAGTTTTTCAAGTTATAATAAATATATCATTAGGTAGTTTCTTTCACTTCAAAAGATATACACATAAACGATAATAGCCGTTATATTTGTTTATGTAGGTACTCTCTTACTTGAAACTACTTTTAAACAATCATAGTTACTTGTTTATGAAAATTAAAATTTTTAAATGCTTTTTAGCATTTAAAAATGCTTAAATGCTTTTTAGCATTTAAAAAAATTTAAATTTTTTTGGAATCCTGAGAAAACTAACAAATATTTTTGAAAAATTTAAATGCAGAATGAAAGATTACATTATTACCGAGGGCCGAAAGTCCCTTAGAATAAACAAAAAGTTTTTTTAATGAGATATTTGAAATTAAAAATCACACTAAATTTTGTTTTTTTTTTCATCCCTATAACTTATTAAAATAAATATTATAGAAGTTTTCAGGGACTTTCGGCTCTCGGTAATAATGTATTGTTTCATTCTGCGTTTAAATTTTTCAAAAATATTTATTAGTTTTCTCAGGATTCGAAAAAAATGAATGCTTTTAAAAAACATTGGCCCGAAATTTTGCTCCTACGCTCTTAACGATAAACTAGCACGACCCACCTCTACTTCTCGTTACTCGATCTTTTGACCAGACGACTATCTAGACTAGACGTTGCCAAAGAATTAGTGTATGAATATTTTTTAATGTGGCGTTATTGTATGCATGTTTAATTGTTTATTATTTCATATTGGGAAATTATTTTGATGTTTAGATTTTTAGTTCGGAAATCGTACTTAAAATACAAAACATTAATAAATTTTATTTATATAAAACAATTTCCGAAATGGAAATCAAAATGTTATATTACAATTATTGTAAAGAAAACTTGTGGCATATTCCCAATAAAAAAACAGTAACCTGCCATTTAAATCAATTTCGCCCAAATTTGATTATCTTGAGCATTTTATCTTCTTGATAGAACATTGTTCAAATGCAAAAAAGACAACATGTCAAATAAAACCGATAAGTTTGGCAACGTTGAACTTCCCCTTTTTTATTATTTCTAGGCATGAAGGTTCGGCGCTATAAAGGGCGTACCTAATATACCTCTCTCTTTTTAAACAGCTGTTTCTCACTCCATCTCACGTAAGGTCCATACCGACCATAAAATTTTTCCTACACTGTATATATATATATATATATATATATATATATATATATATATATATATATGAATTAAATGGCCAAATATATGGCCTAGGAAGAAAAGTTCGTTAAACATCTTGTGCTCGAATTAGTGTTGGCTAGTGAGTCGATGTTTCGAAGCAATGAGTTGAGTCACAGAACTGTTTCAATGTTTCGGTACATTAAACGTTTACTGTTTCGAAACATCGAGTCAGTACGTGTCATCGTGTCGACTCCAAAAATCACGTCAACTCTCTCGTTGTTCGGTATATACTGTGTTGCCATCTGCTGTGTTGTTTGTCGTAAATCTTTACTGTTTCGAAACATCGAGTCAGTACGTGTCATCGTGTCGACTCCAAAAATCACGTCGACTGTCTCGTTGTTCGGTATATACTGTGTTGCCATCTGTGTTGCTGTGCTGTTCGTCGTAAATCAATTGTGTTAGCAGTCGGAAAAATTTTAAATCTTAAAGAACAAGTGGCTAACTGCTGACTGATTTTAATTGTGAAACGATCACAGTTGTTTTAAGTTGATGTAAATGTTAAGTTGTTTTTAACTTTAAAAATGTTAAATTTCTATATTCCAGTCTGTAATAATGAAATGTCATTTTTATTTTAAAGTATTTAATGTAAATAAAACCAGACTTAACATATTTAACCTACAATACCTAAAACAATAAATTTGTGCTTAACAAGCTCAAATCCCTAATCGTTCAGAAATCCTCACAATGCTTTAACAATCACATTGCTGTCACGTGCCTTACAGAAAATGAATCGGCAGTCTGCACGAAATATATCTTTGCATAGCAACCGAAAATGAGTTGTTATGATATGAAGTTACAGTATCTAGTAGAATGTGTCAATTGTTTCAATGTTTTGAATCATTGTTTCGAAACATCACAGTGAGTTAATTCAAATGATTCGAAACATTCAAATGAGTCATTTCGCCCATCACTAGCTCGAATCAGTATCAATAAAGTGTCATGAATCATTTCGGCCTATCCCAGCCTCATGAGACACTTGGACTGATACAAATTCAAACTCAGAAAGTCCAACGAATGTCTCCCAAAACTTCACTACAACAGTAGTTAGCGCACAGAGGCGCCACCTGCTTTGGCGGCCGTGAACGAGAACGATATGATAATATCGTTTTCTGTGTCCTATGGGCTATGCGAAATGGCAAACAGAGCTTATTTTGCCCTCTACCATATATTTAGGTCTAAAAATGTTCACCGAAATACAAAGATGAGAATCTATAAAACCTTAATTCGACCACCAGCATGCTATGGCAGTGAAGCACTGAAAGAAACATCCAAATGCAAACTTGATACATTCGAAAGGAAAGTACTGAAAACGGAATCTTCAGAAGTCGATACAAGAA